ACGCCTTTATCCACTGTGCCATGTGTCCTTGAGGACAATATCTGGTTAAGGCAGTGGAGAACTTGGAGAGAGGAATTAACAGGAGATAACTGATAACTGACATCCATTAGACATGGCATGTGGAACTAGAACAGTCTACCCCAGTGAGCGAAATAAAGGGTTCAGTTCAACATTCCAACCACCTGAAGAAGGCCAGAGTGTACAATGTCTGAAACGTTGTAATAAATATGGTGACAAAGATGAGGACAATAGTCTGAATAATGTAAATAGTGTACATAATACCTCATCTCAGAAATATAGACAGATCATTTAACCAAGTATTTTAAAATGCCTGACAGTACTCATATGAGATATGTAGAATACCTTTGCAATATCCAGTGTCATCTGACATGGATTATTTTCAATTGTCATATCAATTTTGCTATTATCAATGGCTTCACAGCAACCTGAATGTACTTGGTCTTTCAAACCAACATTTCTACTTCTGAACCTATCAAAACTACTTATAAACAGTACTCTCAGCTATGGCAACATCTCCATAAAGGGAAACTATCTTTTTTTGCTATTTGTGCAACATCTTTCCTTTCTGGACAGAGAAGAGCATCAAATGATGAAAATGCATCTCATTTTCCTCAATAAAATGCCCATAAATTATTAAAAGAAAAATATCACCTACAATACTGAAACTCTTTCCATGTACAATATGAAATAAATACAAAACCATAAAGCATATATCAAGCTACTTTGAAGAGAAAACTATAAACTTTCTTGTTAGTAGAGTATTATTAATCTAGGAAATAGAAAAGTAGCACTTATTTAAATTTTTAATGATAGCAGATAACAAGCATTAGGCAGTGGCACTGCAATTTGTTAATACAGTGTAACCCGGATATAAGAGACCCGGATATAAGAGAAACTCGGATATAAGAGTGATTTTCTCTGGTCCCAAATTAGAGCCTGTGTTAATGTATATAAAATAGACCAAACCCGGATATAAGAGAAACCCGGATATAAGAGACTTCTTCTCCGGTCCCGACAACTCTCTTATATCTGGGTTACACTGTATACAGAATAATAACTTATGTTCTGAAAAAAATAAAAAAAGCTATATAATAGTTGATATTCCAGGTCCTAAAGTATTTCAGGTATATAAAATGCATTGGTAACATAGTCAACAAAAAAACAAATAATCTACTATATTAAAATGTTTATATTTTTGTTAAAGGTAGTCATAATAATTCAACAAATTAACTAATAGTTATAGTAACGTTTATACATTTTTTACACCCGAACAGTAGTGCAATAAAAGTAATGAAGGACAGAAACCTGGTCAAGATTTTAGAAATACTTGTCATTAATGTTTACTCATCTACCAAAAAATAGTCTGAAAATCTAGTGCCAGTTTCAGGATCTGAATTTACTATGAGCAGAGTTTTCTTTGGAAAGAACAGCTGGTTCTATTTCTCTGGGTTTTTCAACTGCTGAATTAAACATACAGCAAAAATCTTGGTAAATAAAGTAATTACACTTTAGTAGTAATTAGAAACAACAGGATAAAGCAGTTTAATGAAAATTGTGTTATTTTTTGGCATCTATATATGCATGTGTTCATATGTACTAGCATACAAACATTCATATGCATACAAAAATGTGAGGTAAGTAAAATTGTCATTAAAATCTTGGGATTAAGCATTATAGTTCTTATTTTTCTTGTCATTTTAAAACATGAGCAATTTTAAAAAGTGCAGCAGTCCATTAACTTTCAAGTTGTATTCCTAAATATATCTTGCATGTGGATATCTGTGACAAACAGAAAGATTGTCTTGATTGAAATGTTTAGAGAACAAGAAGTGTTTCTGCCAAAACTGTACATCTTAAATCAACTCTGTAATTTCAGCTTTGTTATATTATTTTGTAGTGAAAATAATTTTTTTGTCTGCCAGGACTTTAACTTGTGTCACCAGGAAATTTGATTATGTGCATTACTTAATACTGATTTACATATATAATCTTTCAGTTTAAGTGAAACACTTTAAAAAAATGTCAAATAAATACTTGACAAATTTCAGTTTGTCACTGACTAGACATCTGAATAATAGAAATGGCTCCGTAATCATAATGTATTTTTGTTTTTCTTGTTCAGTTTTGTTTTATTGATCAATACATGTTTTGAATAATAGTTTTGTCTGTTCTTTTTCAGTGACATGGCAAGGAAAACAAAATATTTAAATCCCTTGATTTGTGAATGCATTGAGAGCAAAGCAAAGTTAAAGATGTGATATATTTTCATTTGTAGACAAAATTTGATCATATAGTCTTCTTTTATGTGGCAAGTCCTTTCAGGAAGTGGGTGTTAATAGCTCTCTACAACTTCCTATATTTCATTGCTTTAAGTATTTTTTTTTACTTATTACCATCCTTCTTTGTCCTGTTTTGTTAGATTATATAATATATTTGCTTTATATCAGATATCAACAAGTTATGACAAACTCATTCACAAGAAATTATTATGAAAATGTAATTTCCACTTTTCAGAGATCATTTAATAAGGAATTTGTGGCAATAATTGTAAGGGAAATTAGATTTTTATTTGATTCTTTTTTGTGAGCTATAGTTGAATAATAGGCATTGATACTTAAAGAACACGCCTCTTTCAAGATTGTGTAATTCATACATCTTAAATATTACAATAGTATTTTTAGGTAAGGTATAACTCCTTTGACAATTAGATATTTTTCTGTTACTTATGATCTGCTTAAAATTATCAATTAATAATATTTTAAAATTAAAACAGTACTTGATAATTTCTGTAAATAATCATTTTTCATTATATAAAGCATTAGATTTCATGGCTCAAAACATGATTGCTCTTGGATTCTTTGAGACATGTTTATCTATCACAGGAGTTATTATTACCAGCTGATTTTCTCCTAAATTTCTCTGGTATCTCTGATTCATGTCTTTCTCTCTTTTTATATACATTTTTTAGTCTATTTTTTTCTGCTTTTACTTTTCTTGCCTTGCATTCAATTCATTTTAATCTAATGTGTTTTCTTTATATTTTTTTTTTATAACATTTTATATTTTTCTTTCATTTCTAATTCTCATTTTCTAATTTAATTCTTTCTCTCTTGCTTTTTGTTCTTATGCTTCTCATATTGTTTTCTTTTTCTTCCAGCCTTTCATTCATCCTTCTTTCATCTTTCATTCTCTGCTCTTCTTTTTAACTATTTTAATCTATTTTTCTTTTTTTTTCATTCTTGTTTTTCATTTGTTTTCTATTTTATTTCCTCTTTGGTTTATTTTAATTCCATTCCATCTTACCTTTATTCTTTTTTTCTTCCTCTTGAAAACCAATCCTAACAAGTGATGCAATATATTTTATTGCAATATTTAAGCATGTCTCTGCCAGCTGCACAAGAACAATACCATTGCTTAAACTTGATGAATTTTTTTCTGTCTTTTATTCTCATTTCATAAAAAAAAAAAAAAAAATTTCTTTAAGTTTTTTTTCTTCTTCCTACATTAGATTAAACCTCCAGCATATTTGAATTCTGCTCCATAACCTTTTCTTAAAACACAAGTT